CATTTCCACTACTTAACCTGTGTGACTTCGGCCCAGTCACTTACCCACTCTATGCTTAACCTACTCCGTCCATAAAGTGGGAATACTAATAGTGTCTGTTGTGAGGATTAAAAAAGATGAAAATAATTAGTAATAAATAATGAAGTATTTAGAACAGTGTCTCGCATGTGCAAGCTGACATGCAGAAGTCATTGCTATTAGCACTCATTATAACAATCATTGTTATTAGTCTGTTGAATGACTGTACATAAAACAAACTGATTAATGACCATAGTGACTCATACAGAGTTGACCAGTCTAGAAACTCCAAGTCTTTTCCATACCATTGCTACTTAGCCACATTTTTGCCCTCTATGGCTTGTACTGCTGATTTTTAGAAGTCTACTGAAAAATCCATTTATTCTCACCATCTTTTGAGGAGTCTGGGGTAGGTAAGCAGGCCGGAAAATGATTTCTGGGTCAAAGGTATATGTACGCATTTTACAAATGTACTCCCATTTGGAATACAAAATCTTGATATGCTGAAATGATGGATTCAATTCTAGAAACACATGTTGGATCCTGCAGTGTTGAAATCATCTCTACAGTTTGTGCTGGATTGAGATTGATTTTATTGCATACTGTTTACATTTTAAGAATCCTTTGTTAATAGAATACTACATGGCAATGAGAAAGAATGAAATCTGGCCATGTGTAGCAACATGGATGGATCTTGAGGGTGTTATGCTGAGCGAAGTAAGTCAGGCAGAGAAGGACAAATATTATATGTTTGCACGTATAGGAGGATTAGGAGGAACTTAATGGAGGAACAAGGGGGAGAAGAAGGGGGTAAATAGTGGGGGAGAGGGAGGGAGGCAAACCATGAGAGACTCTTGAATGCTGAGAAGAAACTGAGGACTGATGGGGGTGGAGGGGAGGTGAAGGGGGGTGATGGGCAGGGAGGAGGGTACTTGTGGGGATGAGCACTGGGTGTTATATGGAAACCAACTTGACAATAAACTATTAAAAAAAATCCTTTGTCAACTGTTACCTAAAATTCCATGACTCTGTTATCAACAGTTGTTTAACTGAGTTGTTACTGGTTTCATTTCTTACCACTTTTTGTTAGTAGAAGTTTTTTTTGTTTTTTTTTTAATTATGTTTTCCGCTTTCTTCACAGTATTTATTCTGATGTTTTTCACTGGCTTGACTACTTTTTAAAATCTTTTTCAGAAAAGAAACATCAGTAGTATAATTTCTGAGATCCTCATGTTCTTTTTTTTTTAATTTTTTAAATGTTTTATTTATTTCTAGGAGAGAGAGAGACAGCAAGAGCAGGGGAGGGTCAGAGAGAGAGGGAGTCACAGACTCTGAAATAGGCTCCAGGCTCCGAGCTGGCAGTCAGCACAGAGCCCGACGCGGGGGCTTGAACCCACGAACCGCGAGATCATGACCCAAGCGAAAGTCGGACGCTTAACCGACTAAGCCACCCAGGCGCCCCTGAGATCCTTCATGTTCTAAAATGTCATTCCTTGGCTTAAATATAGTGCAATGTCTTGTTCCCTTTTCCTTAGAACTCTATAAATATTACTCTATTACTCTCTGGTGTTTCAGACAAGAAGTCTTAGGTCAGATTGTTTTCTTTTCCTCATGGGTTACTGTTCTTTCTCTCTTCCTTCATGGATTTTTTTTTTTTTTTTACAAATAGTTTATTGTCAAATTAGTTTCCACATAACACTCAGTACTCATTCATGGATTTTTCTTTTATTCCATGAAATTCAGAATGACTTTCATTTTCAACATTCATACCTGTCACCTCAAAAGGCTGTTTGGATGTGAATACATAAGCAGAGGAAATTTTTCCTTTGGTATTAATTCTTATACATCTGTAGCATTCTCTTCCATAATTCCTCTTAAATGGATATTACATATTTTGGATCTGTCCTTATTTATTTATTGTCCTATAGCTTCTGTCTCATATTATTTCTTTTTACTACTTTTTTAAAAAATTTATTTATTTATTTTTATTTTTGAGAGAGAGAGAGAGAGAGAATGGGGGAGGGGCAGAGAATGAAAAGGAGACACAGAATCCTTAGCAGGCTCCAGGCTCTGAGCTGTCAGCACAGAGCCCAATGTGGGACTTGAACTTGTGAACTGCAAGATCATGACCTGAGTTGAAGTCAGATGCTTTCCCAAGTGAGCCACCCGGGCACTCCCATATAATTTCTTTTTCCATATGTTTTTGAATAAATCTTCAAGTTGGAATTTGCAAGTTTATTTCTCAGCAGTGACCAACTTGTTATTCAATGTCTCTATTGGGTATTTATTTTTGGCATTCATATTTTGTTTTTAATTTCCAAGATCTCATTGTTTTTTTTTTTTTCCCAGAAGCTCCCTTCTTCTTTTTTCATTGATTTTGATATCCTCTCTCTCTCTTTCTTTTTTCTTTTTTTTTTAAGAGAGACAGAGCACGAGTTGGGGAGTGGGGTAGAGGCACAGAGAGAAAATTCCAAGTAGGCTCCATGCAGAGCCACACATTGGGTTTGATCCCGTGACCCTGGGGTCATGACCTGAGCTGAAATCAAGAGTCACACATTCAACTGACTGAGCCATCCAGGCACCCCTCCTTTTTTTTTTTTTTTTAAGATTTTATTTTTAAGTAATTTCTTTAAATTTTTTAAATGTTTATTTATTTTTGAAACAGAGAGAAACAGAGCATGAGTCAGGAAGTGCAGAGAGAGAGGGAGACACAGAATCCGAAGCAGGTTCTAGGCTCTGAGCTGTCAGCACAGAGCCTGACGTGGGGCTCAAACCCATGAATTATGAGATCATGACCTGAGCTGAGGTTGGATGCTTAGCCAACTGAGCCACCCAGGCACCTCTATTTTTAAGTAATTTCGACACCTAACATGGGACTTGAACTCACAACCCTGAGGTTAAGAGTCACATGTTCTCATGACTGAGCCAGCCAGACACCCTGATTATAGTATCCTCATTAATCTCATCTGGACTTTTTTTTTTTTTTTTAATTTTTTTTAATGTTTTATTTATTTCTAGGAGAGAGAGAGACAGTGTGAGCAGGGGAGGGTCAGAGAGAGAGGGAATCACAGACTGAAACAGGCTCCAGGCTCTGAACCGGCAGTCAGCACAGAGCCCGATGCGGGGCTCGAACCCACGAACCGCGAGATCATGACCTGAGCGAAAGTTGGACGCTTAACTGACTAAGCCACCCAGGCGCCCCTCATCTGGACTTTTGTATCTCTTCATCTGTGAAGAGTTTTTTGGTCATCTATTACTATGTAATTTTTACTCTCCACCTCCCCTCCCCACACTTCCATTTAATGGCTTGAAACAACAATTTATTATTACTCACAGTTCCATGGCTAGGTGGTTCTGTTACTCAGGTGGAAACATTCAGCTGGTGGCTAGGCTGGGCTGGTAGTTAATAGAGGGTGTCTCTCACATTCTAGGGGCTTGATGCTGACTATCAGTCAGGGCACCTTAGTTTTCCATGTGGCCTCTCTCTTCACATGGTGTCTCATCTGTAGGGCATCCTCTGAATGATGGTGGCTTGCATTTCCTTACAGCATGGCCACTGGATTCCAACAGAGGGAGAGAAGAAGCTGCCACTTGTCTCCACTGTTAGGTTCAGAGCAGGCATAGTATTAACTTCTGCTGCATTCTATTGTCCAAAGCAAGTCTCACTACTTCAAGGGGAGGGGAAATGGATTCCACTCTTGAATCCCCAAGAAAGGGAGGGGAAGGGTTGCTGGCCACCATCCTTGGAGACAGTCTCCCGGATTTTCCCCTACGTCTGATGCCTTAAAGATATAGACTGATCAGAATTGGTAGCTTGTATGGACTCTTTCAGCAATTAAATGAATTGCTGGCTCCCAAATAATGGTCATTGAGTGATGAGGAGTTCATTGGGCCAAGACCAAAAAAACAAACAAAAGAGAGAATATAGTGAATTTTAACAAAAATCACAATTAAAGAAATTAAAAAGGATTCTAATATTATTTTCTTCCTTTTATGAAATTACAGCATTAGTAGTTTTTGCAAAAACAAAACAAACTCTTTATCTGGCAAAATAAAATATCAGCCATTTTATACTGGCCTTTAACATCCCAGAGCCGGTTAAGGACCAGGCTTTCTCTGGTCCTGCTCTTCCCTGTTCTTTGCTCCTTTGTCCCCATCCCCCACCACAGTTCTTGCAAGTGTCCTGGGAAAAGTCTCATTTCACTTAAGGTATTTTTTTCCTCTGGGTGAAATAGGTGTGCGTGTGTGTGTGTGTGTGCGTGTGTGTGTGTGTGTGTGTGTGTGTGTCTGATGGAATTCCTAAAGTTTTTAGTTTTGTTTTCCTAAGCCATTTCTCGGGGAAAAAACTGCCAGCTGGCAGAGAGTTTTCCACTCCAGTGTCTGAATTACCATGTGGTTTTTGCCTCCATACCTGTTACTTCTGGCAGCTTGTAGTCGAGAGGAGAAGTCTGCCAAGGGGCATGTCTTTTTCCTCTTGAAGCCTGTTTTAAGCCCTTGGAATCTTGGTAAAATTGGTGAGACCCTTTTAAATTTTCCTCTGTCTGCCTCACCATCTTATGCTCATGAGCTGGAAAGCATTTTTCAACCTGGTTTAAATTATTTTATATTGGAGTTCTACTCCAGGTATTTTAGTAGGAGGTAGAGGCCATCCTTATTTTGTAGTAATTGAATTTTTCACCATCCTTTTTTTTGGGGGGTTCCTTTTGTTGGGTGTCAGAGAATTGGTGATGGTGGTTGGTTTTAGTATATTTCCAGAACACATCGACAAGTGTTTATGGAGCACCTTTTGGTACTGTTGGTGTAAAGGACATATGAAAAGAACCTTTGAGGAATAAAATAGAATTGATGATACCATTGTAGACAAATGCATCCATTTTTGTAAGGGTAGATTGAGAATGTGAGAAATGGCAGTCACAACGCCTCCTGCCCCTGGTTTTTTCCTTTTTCTGTTTTTCTCCCCCTTCTTATATTTGGGTCTCAAGACATAGATGAGTGTGAGGTTTCCGGCCGGTGCAGGGAAGGAGGACGTTGTGTGAACACTGACGGAAGTTTCGAGTGCTACTGTATGGATGGATACTTGGCAAAGAGTGGGCCCGAGCCTTTCCACCCGACCAGAGACGCCACGTCATGCACAGGTGGGTTTCTGACAAAGAAGGAATGTTCTGAAGGCGAGATTCTGTTCTCAGATGATTCTCTCCTGCTCTTAGCCTGTGTTTGTGGGGTTGGGGTCTATGTTGGGGATATGAGTGGAGATTATTCCTTTGCACAGCTGTACAACCTATGAAATAAAGCCAATAATATAGGTTAGAAGGGGGCTATCTTATATTTTAAAAAAAAGCTACAGTTAGTAAACTTTAGAGATTTTAAGTTGTAAATAGATATTCTGCTATTAAACGTGATTTATTTATTTATTTATTTATTTATTTATTTTTTATTAAAGGTATAGATTTTTTAAAATGTTTTATTTATTTCTGAGACAGAGAGAGACAGCATGAGCAGGGGAGGGTCAGAGAGAGAGGGAGATAACAGAATCTGAAAAAGGCTCCAGGCTCTGAGCTAGTTGTCAGCACAGAGCCCGACGCGGAGCTCAAACCCATGAACTGCGAGATCATGACCTGAGCCAAAGTCGGACACTTAACCGACTGAGCCATCCGGGCGCCCCTAAACATGATTTTAGATAGTAAACATAGCTGATCTGGTAAGGACCAGGAGAAGAAAAGTGACTCTGAAAATTCCAAAGCCATATATATCTTAAGGTATTTTGCAATTCAATTTTTTTTTACTTCGTTAGGCTAGGCTTCTCTTTAGCTAGGGTGAATTAGTGAAGGCTGACTGCCAAATTCCATCAGCTTTGTGTATGTACAGATGCTATTACCTATGGAAGGCCAGAAGACTGAATACAGACAATCATTGGAAACATGCCCAGAAGCCAAATGGAAATTAACCAATCTGTAAAATATGGCTCAGGTGTGTGTGGAGGGAGGGGGGATGATAGGGCAGAGGTGGAGAGAGATGATGAATTTTGAAAATTCATATTCACATAGTAATGAATTTGACATTAATTTATTTTCAGAAATAGACTGTGGCACCCCTCCTGAGGTCCCAGATGGCTATATCATAGGAAATTATACTTCTAGGATTGGCAGCCAGGTTCGTTATGCTTGCAAAGAAGGATTTTTCAGTGGCCTGGAAGGTACAGTTTCAAGGTGCACAGCCTTGGGCACATGGGAGTCCCCCAAATTAAATTGCCAAGGTGAGTTTTCAAAAGGTTCAGGTTCCTGTCGTGTAACATTTTGAGATTGTTTTCATGTTTCTCTCTAAGTTTCTCTTTAGGGTAGTGAATGAATTAAATAGATCCAATAAATCCCTGTTGTTTGTAATAGATTTTCAGTTGATTCTCTTGGTATTTTCAGGAAAAGTTATCTAATTATCTGCAAATAATGATAATTCCATCTTTTTTTAAATTTTATTTTTTTAAATTTTATTTGAGAGAGAGAGACAGTGCGAGTTGGGGGAAGGGCAGAGAGAGGGAGAGAGGGACTCAAGCAGGTTCCGCACTGTCAGAGCAGAGCCTGATGCGGGGCTCAAACCCACAAAACCATGGGATCATGACCTGAGCTGAAATCAAGAGTTACACACTCAATCAAATGAGCCACCCAGGCGCCCCTGCTAAATTTCATTTACAATTTTAATGTTGATATTCAGAAGAGAGATTGGCTTATTTTCTCTTTTTGTGCCACCTTTGTTGGGTATGGTGTCAGTGTTATTCTTAATTTTAAAAGAGAATGTGAAAGAATTTATTTCTTTATTCCTTGGGCTACTATAAGTAAAATTTTTAAAGATTTGGAAGATTTCACTTGAAAATTATCTGGATGTGGCTTTTTTGGAGAAGTAGCCCTGAGGCTATTAAAAAAAATCCTATACTTATTATTGGCCTAAGTTTCCTATCCATTTTGGTAATTTATAGACTCCTGGAAAATCATCTATTTTATCCATATTTTCAAGCTTTTTTGTAGAGAGAAGTGTAAAGGAATCTTATTTATAATTTTCTATAGTTACAGCTCTTCATAAGTAAAATATTTGAAACAACCACAAATATCTATTAATAGGAGATTGGTTAAATAAGTCATGGCATGTACCCAAAATGGAGTATTATGTAGCCAATAAAAATTACATTAGAAAATAATATTTATTGACATAGTTTAGTCATAACAGTATATTACTGAGTTATCAACTATATGTGTAACATCATAATTTTGAAAGAGTTCATATGTACATATATGCTTACAAAAGTTTAGAAGGGTGTACAACAAAATATGAACAGCAGTAACTTCTACTGTGGTGGGGGGATCATGGATGATTTTCATATTTGATATTCTTTCTGTATGGAAAGAGTTTTAAACGTATTAGACAAAGTAACAGATTTGTTTCTATTTTGGAAAAAAGAAAAGTTTTCATCGAATTTACTACATAGCTAGGAAATCTCAGTGAAGTGCTTGGCTAAGTTAATTTTTTTTGTTCTGTTCCGATTTGCGATTCAGGCTCTAAACACATTTTGAGAGTTAAGTATCATCCTGGGGGTTAAGAAATTCTAAAAGTACATTTTAGTTCCAACATTATCTTTCAATGAGTCAATTAAAATGCAGAACTTAGATTAAAATGTGCCATAATGCATATCAAAGAACTCCCTGAGGATTTATATAGGAAAACCCAAATAAAAGAGTGTGGCTTTGAGGACTAGTAGTCATCTGGATTACTGGACTGAGGATGGAGAAGGTTAATTTAGAGGAGAGTACTTGTTACATTCCCCAAAGAACTGTTATTTAAAAGATCTTCCCTCCTTTTTTTTCCTCCTTAATAACTGTTCCGTCTGCCTGCTGACACCTTCCTCCTCCTCCCCCGTGTCACCACATGGCCACCAGCTTCTCAAGGCTGTGCCTGCTCTTCTGAGCACACCCCTTCTTCTTAATTCTTCCTCTTCTCTGGGGCTCCCGATTCTGGGCTGTGTGCCAGCCGGCACTGTATTCTCAGCTCAGAGGGATAAAGCCACAGGAATTGGGAGTTCCACTGAAAACACCAGCAAACTGTGAACTTGAACAGGTATTTGGGAAGGGAGCCGCTGCGTGTTACTGATGCAGCCTTGGTGTCCAATTTAACAGACTTCCTCATCTGAGAAGATACAGTTGTGGATCCCCTTGTTTGCCAATTACGGTGTCTCTGGAGGCTCTGCTGCCATGGCCAGGACCCTGATGCACGGGCCCCCGTCTGAGCAGTCCTCCTAGGTGGGGCCTGGAAGCAAGGATGACAGCTTCTGATGCCAGGGCGTCTAGGGCTCCTGAAACCTCAGCCCCACATTTCCGTCAGCCCTCTGGAAAAGACAGAATCAATCTCTCGTTTGCCTTGCCTATTATTTTACTATTACTTGTTAAATTTTCAGAAAAAATGCAGGTTGTACATGGAAGTTTAGAGAACTTAAACTTTTAAAATTGAACCAAGCCAGAAGCAAAGTGAGAGAATCTCTTCAATTGTGTTATCAGCAACAGCAAATCCAGAGTTCAGGTCTGATGCTAGAGTAACTGTAGACCTTGTGACTAAGGAAATCTGGGTCCGGGAGAAGAGAAAAGACAGGTATATCGTGAACTATAAGGTAAGGGGGACCTCCTAAGTGTTAGGTGAGAAGATGGATAAACACTAAGAGTTCTGATGGGAGATAAGGTGGTTCCAGGGAAGAGGTGACATTTGTGCTCTTCTCTTTGAGTAGTTTGCTTGCTGTGTAAGAGTCTGGCAAGGAGTGGTTTACAGTGTAGGTAGATCAGTTGGAGGGTTCTGGTGGGGCGGGGAAAATCTGTCTTCCAAGATAAAATCCAAACTCCTAACCGTGGCTTCTGAAACCAACAGGATTTTGGCCTTTTTGGCTTCTCTACAGGTTACATTTCCCATCATCCTCTTCCAACCACATGTCAAGCTTTTATCAAATTCAGGGCCTTGACACCTGCATCTCCTGCTACTTAAAATACTTGCCAACCATCTTTAAAAAATTTTTTTTACTGTGGTAAAATACACATAATATAAAATTTACCATTTATAAATAGACAATTCAGTGGCATTAAATACATTCACAGTGTTGTGTAACCATCACTGTTTTCTGTTTCCAGAATGTCTTCATTATCCCAAACAGAAACCCTATGCCCTTTAAACAATAACCCCTCATTCCTGTGTCCCTCCAGCCACTGGTAACCTCTGTTCTAGGTTCTGTCTCTGTGAATTTGTATTCTAGGTACTTTATGTAAGAGGAATCGTACAATATTTGTCTTTGTGTGTCTGGCTTATTTCACTTAGCATAATAATGTCTTCAGGGTTCATCCATGTTGTAACAGGTGTCAGAACTTCATTCCTTTCTAAGGCTGAGTGACATTCCATTCTGTGTTTATGTTTGGTGATGGAGTCTCCCTGTGGTTTACATGGCAAGCTCCTTCTCAGCTTTTAAGTTTTAGCTTCAGTGTCAGCTCTGATGTTATTGTCTTCCTTAGTGCCCAATATGTAAGTATCTTATTTATGATTATTTTTGTGGTTTATGTCACCCCTACTGGACTATAATCTGGGAGCTCTGTGACCTCAGAGTCGTCCTCAGCATGATCTCTCCAGCACCTGGCACCCTGCCTAGCATACCTAAGGCCTGTGGGAGCACCCTGAACCCCCTTAGGAAGAGGGTGCAGACCATGCCTGACATCAGGGAGTTGGGTCCTGAACTGCTGTCTCGGATTACGTGGCTGAGCCCTGCTGAAATCCTAGCCCCCTGTTTTGTTTCAGCCCTCAAGCTTCACGTCCTTTCTTGATGCCACATCTTCTTATTTCGTCTTCTGTGCCTTCACACTTTCTTCTCCCTCGGCATGACATCTCTGGGCTTTGATGAAGCAGGGGCAAGGCCTTGGGGCTGATTCCCAATTTTTCCCATATCCATGCATATGGCCCTCAAAAACTGGGGGGCCCAGCACTGTGGGATGTTTGCAGAGGCGAGAGCTTCTCCTTTGAGTTGGTTAATGAGGGTGCCTCACAGTTTCTAACGTCTACTAATAGCAGAGCCTTTCTTTAAAGGTGGCCAGCACTTTAAGGTTGACAAGGTTTTCTGTAAACACTATCTCATCTTATCTTTAGAAATGCCTTCTGAGGTGGTTAGTAGGGTATTTCTCATTTCACATATATTCTATTTACAAGTAATAGTGGGTATGGCTTCCCATTAAGAACCAGAGAGAGGAAGTGACTTACCTTGTTTCACTAGCCTAGGTATCACGATGAGAGCACAAAGCACTTTCTAGAAGGCAGATTCCATGTAGAAGGAACCCTTGTGAATGCTAGAGGTGGGAGACAAGGAGAAGCTGGAGGGCCCGGAAGCACACAGTGGGGCCTGGGACCCACCCAGAAGAATATTTATTGTGGCCAAGTCAAGTCTTCCTCTTTTGAGATTTTCTAAATAGAACCCAATCTCACTTCTGCAAAGTGGAGAGTGTTTGAAAAAGTTGTGACATAAATTGGAACACAGATTAGGGCATTCAGGTGAAGAGCCGCAGACAAGTTTCATTGCGCCACCATCTCTGAACTTTAAGCAGGGGTGGAGACGATCCTGAGACCACATCCAGACCTGTCAGGAAAGCGTGCTGTGAGTGACTCGTGGCCTCTGCCATGAGCGAGCGAGGACAGAGTGGCAGCACACTTATCCGGTGGTTATCCTTTGTGTTCCAGGTAATCATATGAAATAGATTTTCTGGCACCCTAACTACATATTGATCCTTTAAAACATTTAGGAAACTGGTATTGACTTCCTTGCTGCATGCAACAAATCTCCTGTGTTATCCTTTTGCCGAGTAAATGCCATTAAAACACATCACTTAACAAATGGAGTCGTTACAGCATGCAGCATGAATGATGACACTCTTATACGACTGCCACCGGCTGATGAAGCGCGAGCTTTAGAATCAGAGAGACTGGTGTGAGTTTTGGCCGAACCACTTGGGAGTTGAGTAACCAGCTCTAAACTTCTCTAAACTCCAGTTTTCTTCTGTAGTAGGGGATGAGATTGTTTTCATCCTGTGGACTTGTTGTGAAGATTTAATGAGATAATGATATAAAGCACTTGATGCTGTGCTTGATGCCAAGTACCTGCTAGATAAGTATTCACCATCATACTAAGAGCTCAGAAGCTAGTAGGGAGCGGCAGGTAGTTTCTAACTTAAAAACATAAGATCTTCTTTGTGA